TCTCTCTCTCTCTCTCTCTCTCTCTCTCTCTCTCTCTCTCTCTCTCTCACACACACACACACACACACACACACACATGTTCCATACAAGTATGGACATATCATAGCACACATCTATACATATCTGTACATATAACACACACACACACACAATACCACTGAGTTCATTTAATGTTGATCTTATATTTAAGTTTTTGGGGTTGACCACTTTGTACTGAATAGGCTATCAGGAGTCTCCACCCTGTAAACTCCATTTCTCAACATCCATGATTATCCTTAGCTCTTTATCCAAAGCAATACAGTCTTATGGTTGCCTATCAGGACTTGAAGATGAGACCCTGTTGCTGAAAACATCACACACTTCAGACACAAGAGGTGGAGGAAGTGAACTGGAACTTACTTGGATGGCTGCTTCCGGTAGACTAGCTCTCATAGTACTAGAAGGTGCTATGTAAGCTGTCAAGGGAGAAAATAATCAACAAAATTATCTTCCTGTAAAGTCATAACAATGACCAGCCCAGTTGCTATTTTTCCAAAGCTTTATTTTTAGGGATCAGTTTATGCATGTGCACATACCCACAAAGACCAGAAGAGGGCGTTGAATCCCTTGGACCTGGAGTTAAAAGTGGTTATGACCTACTTTACATGGGTGTTGGGAATAAAACTAATATTCTCTGCAAGAACAGCAATTTTTCTTAACCACTGTACCATCTTTCCAACCATATACCTATAAGAATTTATTAAATCAGACTTCAAAGGCTTTTTGAGAAGTCTTCAGTATATTTTAAATAGTTGAGAAAGATAAAAATCTTGACTCTTTGCTTCTCAGAATTTCCGAGAAACCCATTCATTTAGATTTATTTCAAAATGAAAAAAATTACTAATGAAACAGAAACCAACTGTCTGAATTCTTTAAAAATTCCAACGAATAGAACAAATACTATTCATAACCTGCCAACTATTTTCTTTTAAAAAAGATTGCAATTACATATGCATGTCTCTCTGTCTGTGTGTGGGTTTGTACACATTGATGTGGATGCCTGTGGAGGACAGAGGCATCAGATTGCCTGGAACTGGCATCACAGAAAGTTAACCCACCTGAAATGGGTACTGAAAATCAAACTCCAAGTATTGCCCAAAGAAATAGGCACTCTTAACTGCTGAGACATCTCTCCAGCTTTCTTCTTTTCTTTTTAATCTTTTAATATAAGAAACCTATACAACATGAAGGTCAGAGTTTTTCTAAATCAATTTCTTTTTAAAAAAGATTCAATTCTATGCTGTATGTAACATAGATGGTGTAGCATCTCAGTTTAACAGAAAGATCACGAAAGAATTTGCAATCATGTTTCTGTTGTTAAGTATAATACAAAGAAAAAAAAAGGTACTGGAACCCATCTGACTGTCTGGTCAAATATAAGCATCTTGAACCTAGGAGAGGCAGATATTTAATAAAGAGAAGCAAGTGACAGAGGTTGTGCAACATTTTGTCTTTTTTACTTTTAGATTACTTATAGGAGTGGTTCTGCTACAAGCCCTTGTATTGCACACCTACTCACCACCACCACCACCTTTGCCACCACCTTTGGTGCAATGAAGAATCTGACTTCTCTGTATTTTCCTATGACAATCAGTGAAGTAATATTTCTACTTAGGCACACCCTAGCCACAGAGTACTCATAAATTCAGATGATTTTTATAAACCCTCTTACTTTAATACCCTTATTTTTGATAAGCATAAAGTCTCATTCTTTCCTGTTATATTTAGACACTGCCAAACCTTCATAAGCATAGGGTCTTTTACAACTATACACTTCAGTTCTTGAAACTCAACTTGTTTTATATTACAGGACTTACAGCTTTTTTCTGTGCCTGCCTAACTTATAAAAAGTAGCTTTTACATATAACAAGCATCCTGTATTGCACTGTTTTATGAATTTTCCAGGTTCTTCAAGTAATGAAGAGAGTGTTTTAACATTAAAATACCTCTAGACCTTTAGACTTTTATGAGTATTTTCAGTTTCTCATGTTCTGAGACAATGGTTGAGGAAAAAGTGTGCATGGACTAATTATCTCCTTACTATACATTTATATCACAATACTTTTAGGAAATGTTAGGTTTTTGTTATGGTATAACTGAAGTTTTTAATTACAATCCAAATATATATATATATATATATATATATATATATATATATATATGAATTATCCATATAGAACTGTATCTCTAAATATCTATCTATCTATCTATCTATCTATCTATCTATCTATCTATCTATCTATAATTTGATGATGTATGCAAGCATTAGTGTGTAAACAGAAAGTTTAAAATCATCTGATGATTTTGCATATTTAATTTCAGTGGGAATTATGTAGGAAGACTATATACACCTTACACAGAAGGAGAACCTTGTGCCAGTTGTCCTAATGACTGTGAAGATGGGCTGTGCAGTAAGTTCATTAACATACTAATATAATAACATAAAATGACAATCTGCTTTAAGATTTAATAGTATGACCTTACTTGCAAAAGACAAAAATGTACTTAAAATCATTTAAATAATTTTCAAATAGTTCATTTATTCCCTTTACATCCCAATCACAGCCTTCCTCCTCCCTCATACAGTTCCTCCACAACCCCTCCCCTTCACCTCTGAAAAGGGGGAAGGTGACCTCCTGGGTACCAGCCCACTGTGGCACCTTACATCACTAAATCACACCAGGACTGGACACATCATCTCCCACTGAGGTAGTGGGAGTTTAATTAGGGAAACAGGATCAACAAGCAGACAACAGAGTAAGGAGACCCTTTCCAGTTGTTTTGGAACCCTACAAAAACCAAGTTGCATATCTGCTACATATGTTAACATCATTTTTTGAACTACAGATTTTCTTTTGTTTAAGATGTGTGTACTTTTGACATTGAAAAGGTAATATTTCTTGTAGTTTAAAAAAACATTTAAAATCAGTGAATACTTATAACTATACTGGAATTGTTGCTGATGGCGTCTACCAAAATATTTCTTTTTGTTTGTTTGTTTGTTTTGTTTTGTTTTTTCAAGACAGAGTTTCTCTGTACAGCTCTGGCTGTCCTGGAACTCACTCGGTAGACCAGGCTGGCCTCGAACTCAGAAATCCGCCTGCCTCTCCCTCCCAAGTGTTGGGATTACAGGGTTGCGCCACCATCGCACGGCTCTACAAAAGTATTTCTGAGGATGCAATTTAATAAAATTTAAAGTGAAGTATCTTATCCTCAAGGTTAATAAGATCTTAAGGTTAGGATTTTTAAAAGAGGAAGTAATACAAATTTAAGAAGTTTAAATAATATAACTTGAGTCAGCCCAGAGAAAGAAGACAGATACTAATTCTTTGCACACCAAGGAGTTTAGCACAATAAATTTTTAGTCTACTCCAGAGCATTAAAGGAATTTTTTTATTAAATTACATATTTATTTACTTGTAAATGTATTTGTGTCTTTCTAAGTGTCATGGCAAACACATGTGTGTCATAGCTTCTTCCGTGTGTGATTATGTGTTGAAGTTAGAGGACAGTTTATATGGACTCACTCTCCTTCCATGATATGAGTGTGGGAGACTGAGTGCAAATAGCCAGGTATAATGGCAAGTACTTAACCCTGAGCTATCTCCCTGGCCCAGCGTGTGATTTGAATCCAGCCATTTAATCAAACATTACTTACATGTTTTTGTTTAAACAACATTTCTGTGTAGTTTTAGAGTCTAAATAAAATCAATGCGTATTATTGGTTCGTTAAAAACTACAGTACTTCATCAATGAAATGCAGTAAAATGAATGTCATAGTATTCCATTTTTAGTATTATTCTGTACATACATGCAAAGAATAAATGTAATTTCACCATTTTGGTGGAGAAGGAAGGAGAGTCATAGTTCAAACCTGGGTTGGAATGTGGATCAAACTCCAGGTCAGCCTAGGTTACATAAATAAAACAGAAACAGCAATAAAGTGTTTATAAAAATAGAATATAGTACCAAAATTAATATGGTACATTCTGGTGGCAACTTGCTGGGAGTTTTGTGCATTCCTGAGTGAATTTGTGAATTCTTCACGATTGATTTGTATAGATAATATTATCTATATACTAATGATATCAATATTATAAACTAAAGAAGAAAGAGCCAAACATTCATAACTTTGCTTTGTGTTTCTAAAGCAGGTCATCCTATTAATAACAGCCAATTGAACTACTTTAAACAGGAATAGAAAAGGAAAAAATCCTTATTTTTTGTTTTATCAGTTTATAAATTTACTTATCTGTGTACTCATCTGGCTTAGGCTGTTGTTAGTTTTGTAATAGGGTCTCACTACATATCCAAAGCTCACCTAGAACACAGTACTCCTAGTCTTCCTTCCTATACCTATCTCCCAAGTGTTGTGGAAATTGTGTTTCATAAAGACTTCTTAGAAAAAGCATAATGAAAGAGCCAGCTACGAGGTATAGATTCAGAATCATACAGTCATCTTTACATTATTTTTGCAAAGGTTATGAAAACTGATTACACACAGAGAAAGGAAGTAGAATTATAATACATCCTTGCTAACTGTACTTGTTCAATGCTGATGAATATATTATCTATGTGGGGATGGAAAGAGGATTTAGCGTGTGCCTGTAGTAGTGCTTCTTGGGTGATGAAATTAGCAGTTACCTGATTGTATGAGCTTGATTCTAGTATGGGTAAAACAATGAGACATTGTCTCCAAAAAAACAAAGGACCAGATGATAAACAAGACCTTATTTTTTATTCTTTGGTAATTGGGAGTTTCCAATTCTCTGGGAGTGTATAAGCTGAATACAGATTTGTGAGCTCTAGATATATATCAAAGATATGACAAAGATTATAGGGTAATGAATAAGTTACCCTATAATCTAAGAATAAGTGTCTAATACTCAGAACAGCCGTTTCTGCTACATTCCTTTTCAAGTCTGTATTCAGAAGATTACCTCTTCTGATATGAAAGAGAGAATCCAAGTCTAAAACAGTCATGGAGAACAGAACATTCTAGAATGAAGTTAATGTGTATAGCTTGTAATTTTAAGGGCCAGCCTCAGTGGTTTCACCCCTCCTCCAACCCCCACGCCCCACCCCATGGCTACCCCTATGTGCGCTGTCTTGCACTGGATCCTGAGGCTAGGTTTCTAAGCTAACCAAACCAGTTTAACCTGAAATGTTTGAAGCTACTGCTTGCATTTCTGAGGCTGTTCACTCACTGTGGCTGGCCTGGAGAACACCAGCTACCACTCATTCAGCTCCCTTTAGCCCCGTGAAATGAAAACACTAAAGATTTATATTAATACCAGCCAGAATTATAACAGTAAATCTCCATGCAAAGAATCCACAACTCAGTTAATAAAAATACAAGCAGCACTCCTAATTTGGGCAAATATACCCTACACTACCCTCTTGCCCAGCTATTAAATCCCTAGCTAATTGTGGCTTTTCCAGGCCACGTGGGCCTGCACCATCTTCTGTCTCTTCTTCATTCATCATCTTCTCTCTCTGTCATCTAGCTAGTCTTCTCTTCTTCCTCCTTCTCTCCCGTCTTTAAAACTTTCAGCTCTGCTTTTTCTTCCACTCCCCAATCACAGGGTCTAGCCTTTATTTGACCAATTAATATCTTATCTGACATCACCTGAGACATAATCATCTACTCCTCCTCAGGACACCCCTCTTGAGAGAGCAGATAATACAAACAGCAATCCACAAGAAATTTCCAGTATTTTCATAGAAAGAGGTCACTAGGCATACTTGATATAAAACATTTTAATGAACTTGTTATGCTGAGAATATAATGTTTAAATATTAACCATATGAAACTTTAAAAGTACTTGAAAAATAACCACAGTTTTAGTGATTTTTTAATGCTTATTTTTTATTTCATATTATGAATATTTGGTTCTATTTATGTGCATGTATTTATGTGTACCACATTTGTGCTTGTTTACCCTGGAGACCAGAAACTGGCATTGGAACTGAAGTTGCAGTTGGTCATAAGGCCCCATGTAGATGGTGAAAACCAAAACCAAGTTCTCCATAAGAATATTAAAGGCTCCTATTCAATAAGCCATCTATACAACGGCGAGATAGTGCAGTTCTACAAAAACAAAACAAAACAAAACAAAAACAAAACAAAACAGAAACAAAAACAAAAACAAAATACAAAAAGAACCACTCGATTTAATTTTCTTAACCTTTTGTGAGTAAAGAAATCAATTTCACAAAACTACAGTTTAAAAGATATCCACTCATTTGTTCAATCCCCTTGTTCCATTCCATATAAGTTTATTTTGTTACTGTTAAGAGAGGAAAATAACAATGAAGTAATGGATATTTTTGTTCTTTATTTCAGCCAATAGTTGTGGAGAACAAGATGTATATTCTAACTGTAAAAATCTGAAGAAGATGCTAACCTGTGATGATCAAATTCTTAAAGAAGGTTGCAAAGCTACCTGCCTCTGTGAAGGCAAAATTCATTAAATTTCCAGTATGTACAATCAGGACCATGTAGAGAAAGACTATATCCTCTAAATATGGTTATCACATCCCACCAAAAGCGTATAGGTTTAGTACATTGAAATAATTCCAAATGGTAACAATTCTGTTTCTTCTTCTATTTCTTTCTATTTTCAGAAATTGTTTACTCCTAAATATTTTAAAATAACAAAATTGATAATACCTTTAAACCTTGACATATGAAATCTGTGACATATTTATGGTGTCAAATCTAGCCCATGATTACACATTATGTGTATGACTAAAGTAACTAAAATTCTGGCTTGAAAATACGAATCATGTTCCCAGAGGACATGTAAGGGAACAGACAGCATATAGTTCTTCTGTAATGGTCAGTCATCTTTTCTAGCTCTACCTAGTTAACTATCTTTGGAGAAGCATTCACAACAATTGTCTTTTATTTTTTTCTCACCATTCATTATTCTTAACATACATATTAATCAGTGGTTTAAATTCTAAACTACTATTTACATTTTAGTTGTTGGGTCTTTTAAGAATGATATTAAAATGTACCTTATTGACCAGAATTTGCTTGTTCACGGGGCATTGACCTTGGTCGCTTTAGGAAAAAATGAAATAAATTTTAATCTTAGCATATTAATCATCCCTAGTATTTGTTTTTACTGGTTATTTGGGCTTTGTTTATTCAATATGATATTTTCATATATATGATATCTTTTACTTAATTTTTATTTATATAATAGTTCTCAGTCTTCAGAAGAGTTTATTCTAATTAATATATATCTCAATTAATAATCAATAGTGGATCCAGTTTTGCAAGTACTCCTCACTTTACCCTACTATGCTATATCCAACGTATAGACCTATCCCAGGTCACACATTCTCTATACAGTCTGGTGAGTCCTGAGGAGCTTGGTTCACTCATAAAATCTTAACATTTAGACTCAGTTATCGTAGTTGCACATCTTGTGCCCTGGGCTCACTCCGAAGCACCCTAAAATATAACGCCAGACATAAAGCCAATGAAAGTAATCTACATTCCCTGGTCTCATTATGAAAACACAATATGTGGAGTCAAAGTACCATTACTTTATCCCCCCAGATTCACTAGTCTTACAGAAATATTTCCGAAAGAGAATTTACACAAGCTACAATATCTCAAAAAAAAAAAAAAGATACAGAAGGAAATTTGAGAATTTTAAAGAAGACATGAACAAACATCTCAAAACCAAACAAACAAATAAGCAAGCAAAACCAGGAATATAGTGTCAAATGAAATGATGAAGATAATTCAGGATTTAAAAACTCTATTCAGTAAGAGAAAGAAACTTTATTTGAATTTATAATGGGATTAAGAAAATAACAAAAGCTCAGGGGTTGGGGGAGGGAAGATTAGGCAGGTGATGAAATGTCACGACATAGTGAAAAAACCCTGAAGAATTAGGCCCCTCAAGAATTAGGTAAAGAATATGAAAAATTAAACACACACACACATCTAAGAAAGAAACATGAAAAAAAATCTGAGTTAATAACTTTAGTAATCTGTCACCTTTTTGTTCTTACATGAAAATAATTATTAAAGATTGCTGTCTGCTGTACCAGGAAACTGCAAGTGCTGTCTGTGCCCAGGTACCTGTGAAGAACAGGCTGCATAAAACCTATAAGGAAATGTGCTTTTGCTTTGCTTTCAGATTCTGTTTTAAGGAAGTGAGGGTTGGAAATATTGGGATTATTTAAAAATTTCTTAAATTTTATTAACAATTGGTCAAAGCCTTTATGATGTCATTTTAATAAATAAAAGACAGGGTTCAGGCTCTTTGGTCAGAAAGCAGAAGAAGGAGAGGATGATGAGGGTCCTCAGGTAAAGAGAGAACATTTGAAGTGAAAACTTGCATCCATTACTGACTCTGAGTCGTTATTGAGTAAGTGCCATTCCCATTTCCTCCTGTCTCAGGACCCTCCTCACCCTGAAGCTGGACTTTTGCATGGAAAACAAAAACAAAAACAAAAACATAAACAAAGAATGCCTGTGTTGATAGCCTCTTTCTTCCACTTTTGCTTGAGCCTGATGTCTATGCTGCTGCCCATATCCAGGGCAGGTGTTGAGGTTGGACTCTTCTCTAAATTATTTCATATTCTTTAAAACTGCTTTTTGTCATGTACCTTGTGCTTGGTGACACCTTTGGACAAGCATCCTTGGTTAACACTACACATAGGGCACAGACTTTAATAACTTTTTTCCTAAAAGTAAGAACAAGGATCACCTTATTAGGTCACCAAAGTGCATTAGGGATGTGTGAGTTCATGGATAAAACCCTAACAGGAGAGCTAAGTCCAGGAATCTATCAGAGTTGACCCAGGAGAAGTGGAAGTACCCGCACCTAGATAGCTACAAAGATAAAACCCAGTGCTACAAGTGCGGTTGGCTCTTACCCTATACGTGCATCAAGTGGCTCAGATGCAGAAAATTACTGACTCTACTATGGGCTACAGCTCAGTCCCCAGTTTTAACATAATTGTCTTTGATTATTGACATATTTGTCCTTGAAGATTCAATTCTAAACTTAGACTACTCAACATGACTCAAGGTTGAGGGCAGGTTCAACCCTATGACAACACCAATGCCCATAAAGTATAGAATGATGGTGGATGTGTATGCAGGACTAGGATTAGTTCTAAAAGCAGTAAATACAAGAGAAGCTTTACAACCAAGATATCCCATGCTGTGGAAAGTAACTTATAGATGTCTAGGATAAAAGAAAATGACAGTTTCCTCCCATGTCAAAACACAGGTAGTATGCAGCCTGTGTTTTGATTTTCCATTCCATTTAGATTTTTTTTATTGATTATTTTATTCATTTACATTTCAAATGTTATCCTCCTTCCTGGTTCCCCCTCTGCAAACTCCTTATCCCACCCCTCCCCGTGCTTCTATGAGGGTGCTTCTGTACCCACCCATATGCTCCTGCATTGCCACCCTAGCATTCTCCTATGCTGGGGCATCAAGCCTTCACAGAACCAAGAGTCTCCTGTCTTATTGATGCCAGATGAGGCTGTCCTCTGCTGCATATGCAGCTGGAGTCATGAGTCCCTCCAAGTGTATTCTTTGGTTGGTGGTTTATTCCCTGGGAATTATTGAAGGGGGTCTGGCTGGTTAATATTGTTGTTATTCCTATGGGGTTGGAAAATCCTTCAGCTCTGTTAGTCCTTCCCCTAACTCCTCCATTAGGGTCCCCTAGTTCAGTCCAATGGTTGACTACAAGCATCTGCATCTGTATCAGTAAGGTTCTGGCAGAGTCTCTTAGGGGACATCCATATCAGGCTCCTGTCAGCAAGCACTTCTTGGCGTCAGCAATAGTGACTTTTTGTGGCTGTGTCTGGGATGGATCTCCTGGTGGGGTAGTCTCTGGATGGCCTTTCCTTCATTCTCTGCTCTACTTTTTTTCCTTGTATTTCCTTTAGACAGGGAAATCCTGGGTTAGAATTTTTGAGAAGGATAGGTGGCCTTATCCCTCAACCAGAGGTTGTACCTAAAACTCCATATGGTCTCTACAGGTTCTCTTACCCCTTTGTAGGGTATTTCAGCTAATATCATCCCTGTTGGTTCTGGGGAGCCTCTAGCTTTCCTGTGGTATGGGACTTTCTGTTGGCTACTACCCTTGTTCCTCATCCCTCATTGCTATACATCTCTGTTCAATTTCCTGACCCTCTGTACATCTCCCTTGTCTCTTCCTTCACCTGATCCTGCCCCGCCTTTCCCTCTCCTCCTCCTTTTTTCCTCACAAGTCCCTTCTACCCTCTACCTCCCATGATTATTTTGTTCCCCCTTCTAAGTACAACCGAAGCATCCACACTTTGGTCTTTCTTTTTCTTAAGCTTCATATGGTCTGTATGTTTTATTGTGGGTATTCTAAGCTTTCTGCTAATATCCATTTATCAGTTTACCTTGTATTCCCACAGCATCAAGGTAGGTGGTCAGATCATTAGAGGAAGCAAATGAAACATGCCAAAAAAAAAATCATGTACTATGTAAACACCAAATCTTGTAATTATAGTCATTGAAGACAGAGAAAAATCCCAGGTCAATGGCATCGCCTATAATTTCAACATGATCACAGAAAAATTCTCCAAATTAAGGACAGACATATTCATACAGACACAGGAAGCACACCGAGCTCTAAGTAGACAAGACTAGAAGAGAGACACTCACTAAATAATATATTTAAAGCACTAGATGTGTAGATCATAGAGAGAATCCTGAAAAATAATAAACACAAGTGAAATATAAAAGACAATCCATCAGACTGATGAGTCATTTCTCAATAAAAACCATTAAATCCAGAGGAGCCTGGAGCATTGTATTTCATATTCTAAAAGAGCATGAGTGCCAGCCTAGACTCCTATTCTCATATCTCAAACATATTCAAACATATCTCAATAGCTAAAAGAGAAATAAAATATTTTCATGATAAAGCGAAAAGAATTCATGCCGACCAAATTAGACCTAGAGAGTGTGCTTGAAACAGTACTTCAGGCTGAGCAAAATAGGAATGGAGTAGAGGTAATAAAAAGACAATAAATGAAATTATAACTACTGAAAAACAAACTACAACTGAGAACACAAACAATAGCAACAACAAACAATAGCAAGAATACCAACAACAAAACCCAAGGAAAAAGAAAAAACAAAAACACCAAGGCAAAACAAAAAAAAATGGCCACTATTCTCCCCCCAAGAACATTTTTCTGTTTTGTGTTTTCCAAGTACTTCTGGGCATGTGTCCTGTACTAGACTGTAGTTGATGTACCTAGTAACATTCCATTGGAGAAAATTGTTTTCTCTGTGATCTTTGTCTTAGTTTTGAGGAACAGGGAGAGAAAGAATATGAGGTTGAGTGGATAGGGAATCAAGGAGAACTGGAAGTAGCTTAGGGAGGAGAACAATAATAAAATAAAAAGAGTATATATTTAAAACAAATAAGGGGGCAGGAGAGATTTCTCAA